TTAAAATAAACCACTAATTTACACACACACACACACACACACACACACACACACCCTCTTTCACCATAAACCTCAAACATCATTAAGTCATATACTAAATAAGAATAATACAGAGATATTTTCTGTCACACATTAAAATAGAAATGAAATTATTTTATAAAGTTGTAAATGATATATGCAGTGAGATAAGCATGCAATTGCAAACGTATAGTCACATTCGTATTCCTAAACATAGTCGTAAATGGCTTCTTTCAGCCTAACAATGACTGCATTTGCTTACTAGCTAATTTATTCTTATTCTTCATTTAGGATTTTATGGCCTGGTCTTCAAATCTTTACAAATAGGGTCATCTGCCGAAAAACATATTTTTCCTTCTATCCTTCTATCTAAGAGTCATTTTATTTTTTTAAGAAAGAACACTGGAGCTTAGAAATTTTAATGAATTCCCCCATCACTTGTTATGACATTGCTGTATCATTTGAATAACTTAACACTTCTTATAATTTATTTTCCTTTAATAAAACCATGTTCCTCCAAAATGTGATAGCACTGGAAGTTCTACTTTTGATACATTAATTATAATATATTTTTAGAAATGCTCAAAAACTTCAAACTAAAATATGTTGTTTGATTTTTAAATGAAATTTACCAAAATAATGACATAACGTATCCCATCTCTTTTCAGTGCCTTGACAAACTCAGGCAGACCGGCGAAGTTCGTTTTATCATACGTGAAGTCCAACTGGCGTTCCATGGAGTCAATGTCCCCATACTGAACGTCCTGTGCAAAGGAGCAATCCAGAGAGTACCTCAGACATTAGACACATGTTATCAAAGAACCATGAGCAGCTAATAAATGACTCTAGTTAACTTAAAACGTAAATACTGGTGTGAGTTTCAGATTAGCCACTAGGTCAAAAAAGACCCCAAATTAATTGAGAGTACAAAAAACAAAACTATGCCAATTTTGTGCCTGTTTTGCAATATGTACAAATATCTTTATAAATGTGTGTGCATATGCATTTCATGTTAAAATATCATCACTAAACTTTCTCATGTCTTTGCTACCTTCAATTGACATCACAGAGGTCGAGATACACTTACATGAGGGATATTAAACTGTTTCAAACGTTCAACTGTTTTTCGCATCACTTCTATGTTATTATAGCCCCATCGACTCAGATGAAATCCCAGAGACCAGTACGGAGGCATAAATGGACGTCCAATGGCCTAAAAAAGAGGTATCAAAAATACAAAAATGTTATTATTTAATTTTTCATGCATGTTGATTTTTAGGATTAGTTGATGTAATGATTTCATCAGCTGGCACTTTAAACTGTGTGGAGCCTCAAACGTTGTAAGATACCTCTCTTAGAAACCAAAGATATAATTATTTTCAACCTTTGGAGCCTCAACAATTCTTTTGAGAATGTAACTAAAGCCACAGAATATTTTCCCCAAAAGAAATACCTTTGTAGTTTTTTGAGTGGGAGATTGTGTTTCCAGTCCACGATTAATCTGCCAGAAGTAAAATAACAAAACCAGACTCACTATCACTATCAAGTGAATTCCAACTCAGAGACCCTGTCAGACAGGGTAGAACTGCCCTCTGGGTTTCCAAGACTGCGACGCTTTATGGAAGTAGAAAGCCTTGTCCCTCTGCCAGGGAGAGCGGCTGGTGGCTTCAAGGTGCCAACTATGCAGCCCCCAAAGTAACCAGTCTGCCACCCACCCCAAAGTCAGGAAAACATGTACTCACTTCCCAGTTTGGCCTCTTAATATTTGTGACACTGATAAAATCATTTAATATCTTTTGCACCGTTAGTTTCTTCATCTTTAAAATGGGATTAAATCATATAACCAACCTGATTTACATACAAGTATTTATTGACTACTCACTGTGCACTGTTTAGATGCAAGATCCCTACTTCATGCCCCTTATATTCTAGTTGAGGAAGACAAGTACTAAACATGTAGACAAAGAGATGTGCTTTGTTTTTTAACAGAGCGGATGAAAGTGGGAGTAGGGAGGGGTCAGTCATCCCTAAAGATGTCAGCCTGGCAAAGAGTGCAGCAAGCAGGAGGAACAGAGACTGCAAAGAGAAGATGTGTGTGGCCAAGTAGTAAACAGAAGAATGGAATAAGAATTAAGGAAGAAGGCAGTGTACACTCATCCAGTACTTTGAAGGCCAGCAGAAAGAACTGGGATATGTTTAGCTGCTATTTTAAAAATATTTATACTACGAAAATTTTCAAGCCACTATGTAGAAAGGTAGAAAAGTTAATAGAATAAATCCTCATGCATGAACGATCATTGTTTGGCCACCACCTTCATCCACGTTTCTCCTCCACCTGCCTCCTTTTATGTATTGTGAGATCGGTGGGCTGCTAGAGTATAGAATTTTAAGACAAGCTCATGATAATCCCTTAGTATTTTCAAATGCTCATTCAAATATTCCCAATTTTTGAAAAAGTAGCCCCCACCCTCCCACTATACTTTGGTTTATTTGAAAGGAGAATGGATTATATTGAAATTGCAATAAGAGTCATCAAACTGAGCAATGTAAACTGATTTTTAGTTTGTTTTCTAAATACATCAGATCCTCTGTGGGGAATCGATTATAGGAAGTCAAATGTGATAGCTGTACTTTTTCTAAGACATCCGTAGAGGCAAGAATGTTGAGATTCTGTCTCACAAAAATTGGCATGCTGTCAGGATTGACCAGTCCTACAGAAGGACATCCTGACTGATAAAGCAGAAGGGCAATCAAAAAGAGGAAGGCTCTCGACAAGATGGATTGACCCAGCAAGCACAACAATGGGCTCGAACAGGAGAACAGGTGTGAGGATGGCACGGATCTGGCCAGTGCTTCGCTGTACATGGGTTGCTATGGGTCAGAACCCAATCACTGGTCCTTAATAACAGCAACAAAGATAGTAGCAAGAAAGCGCTTAGAAGTGGGTGCACTGCCCACATCGAGATAAGAGTGGGTGGAACTGAGAGGTCACCTGATGATGTTGAGAGTGGTCAGACTGAACTTCAAGTGGGAGGTCTTCAGGTATTCCTGACAGTACTTTCTGATGGAGTTGACATGGTAGGGCAAAGACAAGGAGGGAAATGAGAATGATCTTCAGGTTTTAGCTTTGAAAGTATTCGAATTGAAAGACGAGATGAGTGGTGGCTTTGTTAACTGAAGTGAGGAAGACACAAGGAGGATCAAGGGCAGGTTTGTGGCAAGAGAGCACAGGAGATAAGAGAGAAATGGACTTGTACACTTGGTGGCTCTTCACTTACGGATGTACTCAAAACCACAGGGTCAGAGAAAATGTCATCGGAGTTCAGCTGATGTTCAAAAGAGGACATAGTACTACCTTCAAAGAGAGTCAACATTCAAAAGAGGAACAATCAGCAAGGGAGCCCCAAAACAAGCCATTGGTTGTGTAGGAGGACAGCCACATTGTCAGAAACACACACACACACACACACACACACACACACACTCAAAGAGGGCAGGGGAAGGGAGGGGAGGGATGGAGAGGAGGTGAGGAGCGTAGGAATAGGCAAACGGATGGGGACGAAAGACTTATTAGGCTGCATGAAAAATGGGGGCTGAGGCATTTGGGGCAGCCATCCAGATCTTTGTGAAAAAGATCTTTACAGAGGAGAGGAGGAAGTGAACGCAGGCTCCTGAGAGGCCTTGCTTCTTCAATATAGGGTGCTCAAGGTGTGTACTCTTAGGGCATGCTTATGGATGGGAAAGACACCCCTTTCTGGCAGGCAGGAATAAATCATTGGTGCAGCCGAGAGAGGAAATAATTATAAAAGTTCATCCAACTTGAGACTATAGGAAGAATTGTAAGGCATGAGCAAGATCAAATATAACAGGAAGCAAGGTAGAATAAATGGGTATGAATGTGGGTAAAGAGGTAAATTGACAGACTTGGTATTAGGAAAACAATGTGGCTCCACTTAATTGCTTCAATTTTTCTCTATAAAATAATAAGCCAAGTCAATAACTGAAAGTTGGGTGAGGTGGTGGCGGAGGTTAGAGAAGAGAGGGTGTGAAATTAATAATAGTTTCAGTGAGTAGAATTTTGCATACACTAGATGAGGACATTCTGTAGAGAGGGTAGTGTAATTGGAGATTCAATTAAAGGGAGACTGCTCACCACAACCGTGTGGTTTGCTAATCAATGCATGAAGAGTTCGAATCTGCTTTCCAGAGAAAGGTGGGGTCAAAACTCCTAAATAAACTTGTTGTTCATATCTGTCATTTTTTCTAAAGTTTCTTTCTAGAAAGCCCTTCAGAGCAGATCCTAGGACTTATTTTTCCCTTTTATAATGTCTAAAACAAAATATGCATATTCTCTAGATGTTTATTCACTATTCTATTTAATGAAAAGCAGACGCTATCGTTCCTGTTTTAAATATGAGGACATTTAGTCAAAAGTGGATTTTTGTGGCCTGCTTAATTTTATAGTCTTTTAAAAGGATGAAACCCAAATTAATAAGAATCCTGATTCTCAAACCAGGAGAAATAATAGAATTAGGTAGGAAATTTTAAATATATATATATATACTTTACCCAGGACCCACCTCAGAATACAAGGTCTGAGAACAGTTTAAAGGCTACAAGGCCCAGTTGTAGAGCGTATACAGTTCAGCCTGAGAGTAAAACACAAATAAAAATGAAACAAAGGCAAAAACAACTGAACAGTATAAAGCTTTACAGCCTATATAAAGAGATAAGATATGTGGGATTTGGGGGCCTGCATTGGCTGGAATTATATGAGCACCAATCTCCTTGTACTTTGGACACATACTTTGGACATGTTATCAGAAGAGACTAGTCCCTGGAGAAGGATATGGAAGAAAGAGATATCATTGCAGATGTCAGATATATATATTTGCTGAAAGCAGAGAATACCAGAAAAATGTTTAAGTGTGATTTATTGACTATGATAAGGCATTTGACTGTGTGGACCACAGCAACTATGGATAACCTTGATAAGAATGGGAAGCCCGAAACACTATGTTGTCCTCATGAGGAATCTGTACATGGAACAAGAGGCAGTTGTGCAAACAGAAGAAAGGCAAATTGCATGATTTAAATCAGGAAAGGTGAGCATCAGGTGGCATCCCTTTCTCATACCTATTCATCTGTATGCTGAGCAAATAATCAGAGAACTAGATTATATGAAGACGAATGCAGCATCGGGACTGGAGGAAAGCTTATTAGCAACCAGTGATAGAGGTGACACACCTTGCTTGCTGAAAGTGAGAACTTGAAGCACTTGCTGATGAAGATCAAGGATTGTAGCCGTCAGTGTGGATTGCAACGCAATGTAAAGAAAACCAAAACCTTCACAATTGGACCAGTAGGCAACATCACAGTAAATGGAGAAAAGATGGAAAGTGTCAAGGGTTTGTCTTGCTTGGATTTACAATCAACGCTCAAGTGAGGAGCAGTCAAGAGATCAAATGATGCATTGTACTGGCTAAATCTGCTTCATGGGACCTCTTTAACATATTGAAAAGCAAGAATGTTACTTTGAGGACTGAGGCGCACATGGCCCCAGCCATGGTATTTGAAACTGCTTCACATGCATGTGACAGTTGGATATTGAATACAGAAGACTGAAGAAGAATCGATGCATTTGAACCGTGGGGCTGAAGAAGTATACTGAAAGTACCATGGACTGCAGAAAGGACACAGTTATTTTGTCTTGGGAGAAATACAGACAGAAAGGTCCTTAGATTCCAGGATGGTGAGACGTCATCTCATGCACTTTGCACATGTTGTTAAGAAAGACCAGTCCCTGTAGAAGGACATCATGCTTGGTAAAGCATCAGGCAGTGAAAAAGAGGAAGACCTTTGACAAAACGAACTGACCCAGCGACTGCATTGATGGGCTCAGACACAGGAACAGTTGTGGGCATGGCACCGCTCTGGGCAGTGTTTCCTTCTGTGTACACAGGGTCACGACGGGTTGGAACACACTCAAAGGCACTTTACAACAACAGCGGCATTCTTTATGTTTAAATATTTCTTTAGTAATGCCCGCTGACAGTTTTGGAGAAGGTAGGGGAAAATCCTCCTCTCACAACGCTGTCCCCACAAACAGCAGAGCCCTGTGCCCTCAGAGTCCTTTCAAGCAGGCATCAGCTGTAGTGAATCTATTTCTTTCCTAGCAACATGTTAAGATTTGTTTCCCCAAAGTGGAATTTC